TAAGCACTTTTAAATCGCATATCGCAGTTCTGGGCATAAACAGTGGGAAAATTAACAGAAGACATGCCAACTTTTATAAAATCCAACAATTACAATAATTAACCATAATAACAGAAATAATACTCCCTTTCAAAATGATAACAAAATATATTTAAAGAAAAAAAAAAAAAAAACGAGAAAGGATGGGATTTCTTCAAATTCATTATATCTTTGTAGTCACCATCAAAAGTAACAACGCGGATGCAAAATGTGCTCCCTAGAAAAAAGTGGCTAGGAATGAACTACTATCGGACAGTAAACGATTACATAATACTAGAACGTCATTCTTTCACGATCTCATAATCTCTCAACTATAATTGGAATAGGACTCTATTTTGATCAAGTGATGACTTTCTCCATCTAACAGTATTATTCAGTAATGAAGTTTCCAAGCCAGGATCACAATTCAGTATGCTGTGCTTCTTCATCTTCATTTTCTGCTTCGGCTTCTGCCTTCTCTTGATCTGATAAACCAGCACCATCCTTACCTCCACTTTCCAAAAATTTCGTCAGCCCTTCCAATGTCCTTTCACCGGTAAAATCAATTATCTAAAATAAATACAAGAAAGTTTACTTTATTACTGTACACTTCACATGAAACAAACCAGTACACAAGCTTTCTTTTGTGGGTATCTACGAAAACACATTCACAGATGTGCGCACTAAGACGAATGCACAGAATTCATCGATCCCACGACTGCATGATTTGTTTCAGTTTTTGCCGTTGTAGTACTAGGTTATTTACCAAATTTTAGTTTTGAATAACAGTGTGGGGGAAATTCATTTGCTGATTTTAGAAATGCAGATAGTACTCAGACTGGCAAATTCTTTGCATTCATAATAGCACAGACCTTTCCTTCATTTTAAAGTAGCAAAAAGCTCAGTGAAACCTAAAAAATTGAGAAACAACCTGCCTTATTAGAACTGGCAGGGAAGAACTTAATTGTTGGGAATGACTGCACTTTAACATCTTCCACTTCATTTGCTGTTGCATCCATCTTAGCAATCAGTATAGTATCATGATCCTTATATTTTTCACCCAACTTATCCCATGTTGGCATAAGTTGTTTGCAGTGTCCACACCATGGAGCGTCTGCAACCTTCTGTTTATATAAAAACTGTGTATAGTAAAGTCTAATCACCAGGAAATCACAACAGTAATTACGAGACATACAGATCAAAAAATTCCAATTTATAAAATTCCGCTACATTACCGAAAATTTCATCCGCAATGAAGTGAAAGGCAAAGATATGCAGTAATTTATGACTCTTCATACTGCTGCCTTCAACTAGTGTTCAGACCCTACCAATAAGTCAAGAATTCTCGAATTAGCGGTGGAAATAAATCACCCTTCTTGATATCAAGACAATAAAACACTTACAGAATAGCACAATGACGTTTTTCTTGGAATCCTTTGCGACATCGTCAAAGTTCTTTCCAACTAGTACCTTCACTGGATTCTTATCCCAGTCACTGGGAATATCCTGAGTCATTAGATGTGATTTCAATTTACCAGCAAGATACATTTCTGTAAAGTGTATAATATTTTCTGCTGTAATTTCTTTGAATTCGGGTTTGTATTTAGTCATATCCTCCTCTAGACTGATCAATCTCAGTGCTGCCAAATCTTCCTTTTTGAGACCAAAGAATTCCAGAATACGAGCATTGTCTTCCACGTCCGTATTAATGATGACAAAAAGAACCTACAAAAGAACTCCTTTACATGAGTTATTTACACCTATCAAAATATATTTGGAAATGTAATTACACAGTGCCGGAAAGCCACTCCAAGTCCATGAAAATCCAACATCAGAGTCATGAAAAAATCACCTTGCCCTTGAATTTCTTCGCAGCTGCGCGGAACTCTTTCTCTAGTTTCTCAAATTCAGAGCTTTCTTTTGAAATGAATAGGAGATTGTGTGATTTAATATCACCACCGAAGATAATTGGTGCAGTATCTTGTGTGAATTCACTCACAAGCGGTAATCTTTGAGCCTGAAAATGAGTTATGAATCAAAGTGAGTGATCGAAAGGTACAGTTTAGTATCGCCCCTTCCAAGATCATTGGCAGTTTAATTTATTTTATTACATATATTACTGATGAAATGCGTGCATACATGAATTCTACTTTAAATGCATGGAACTATATTTTTAACGAATTTTTGTTTTTTAATAGATTATGGTATCAGCAATAAACACGCTAAAGACAATGAAACAAAAATTTAAGGTAAGCAGTGATCTAAACTGAAGATTTTGTTTTGAGGAAGTCATGAGGGCGCCAAGAGCAGCATTTAATGTGCATGTAACTATGTAAATACGAGCTAGGAAAAAGTATACAAAATAAGAGATGGGTTTACACAGCGGTACACTTGCAAAAGACACTAGGCAGAAAACAGTGCTGGTCCTTGTTTGAACTATTATATGTTGTGCTCTAATGATGAAAGCATGAGAAACCATTCTAATCAACAGAGAATTCAAAAAGTACCTGAATCCAAGTCTTAAGTTGATCAGCTACTAATTTCTCACTAAATTCGGCTCGTCCCTCATCGAATTTCTTTAACAACACAACGCCTTCACTTTCCAATCCTATTTGTCTTGCTGCATCATTTTCCGTGGTGATACCGAATGATATATCATCGAATCCAGCAGCCACTTCCAGAAAAACTTTTGCATTCATGCTTTCAGTATCCTGAAAAGTGTCTTGAACACGGCATATCAAAATGGTTAACAGTAATATTTTCTCAAATTAGGGAGAACATTTTAAACAAGAAATACCTTAAAATAGCCAATGACGCACACTTCATTGTTTTCCTGGAAGTCTTTTACATCGTCAGCTGAGAGTATAGTTTTAGCTGCTGGACCTGTCTTCTTTTTTAGCCAAGCGACGATGGACGCTGCATCTCGTCCACCACCATATTCCTGTGGTTTACCCGAACGGAATAACTTCAGAGTCGGATAACCACGCACCTAAAATGCCAACTTATGTGATTCAATACAATAAATTTGTAACTCAAAAAAGGAAAAAAACGAAATTTTTTAATTCATCCAAAACCCAGCCGACAGCACTTAAAGGTGATCTTTCGTATAAAACCTAAGAAATGCACGAAGATTTATTTATAAGAGCTTTAAACAAAAAATACAACACAAAAAGATGCAATGCCAAGTAAACGCAAAAATAAAATGTACTGAACAAATTGATTAACATACCTCGTACTTTGAAGCAAGTTCGCCATGTACGGTCGCATCGCACTTTGCAAGCTTGATTGGACTCTCCTCTTTCTTTAGCAACTGCGCTGCTTTTGCATATTCAGGTGCCAAGGCCTTGCAATGTCCACACCATGGTGCATAGAACTCAACCAGAATAAACTCATGTGCTGCTACCGTGTCGTCAAAATTATCCTAAAAATTCATCTTGAAAATGAAAAGTTTCGGACCGTAATTAATAGATATTTCAATCAAAAATAAAAGGAAATATGCCCAAGCAAATTCCGAATTCAGGTACAGAAAAAGTCAACGAACATACGAAAATTTTTCTGAATCGCAGTTCCCTACTACTGTCCTCCTAATTCATTCAATGAACTCCCTAAGATATTTCTCTGCATTTCATTGATTGGTGTGGGAAAACGTGGAAAGAGAAAGAGATAATGACTTGGTTTTTTACACATATCATAAATTTTCAAAAATGATATCAATCAGTAGGAAATGTATGTGTTCAGTAGGTCTGATTTCAAAAAGTAATATAACCATTTTGAACAAGTGAAGATAGTTCTTAAGTACTGTATATGCCTCCGCAAAACCTCTGTGATGTGAGTTGGGACATATGTCATATGAGAAATGAAGGTTTACTGGGGATCTCTATCAGATAATACTTGTGCAAAAAATAACCTTTGTAAGTACAAGAACTCCTTCATCCTCCTCTACACTTGCATCATGGGCAACCGGGTGTAGTGCAAATTGAAGCGACAGGCTAAGGGTGACGACCAACCTGAACATAACCTGAAACAGCGAATGACTTCAGCACGCCTCGACACGACACCTAATCATGGCAGCCATGCCATCCGTCGTCGCTTTGATAACAACACACCCTCCCATCTTTCCCCCTCCCCTCCCCATCCCCGGCACACAGTGCATTGTGTGTTGTTCGCCCATTGGATAACGAGCATGACACACCCCCGCGAAACCATTGGTTGTGCTCTACTGGACGAGATTTGCGTGAGGGCCGTTACTCACTCCCTGCTTGCAGTATCTTCATTCTTGCACTATTGGGAGTTCACGTTCGTCATTCTGGGAGATTAGGGACTGTAGACATAAGTTGATTGTTGAGGGATAAGAACCCTTCATTTTCACATGATTTCATGACGCCTGAACAGTTTCTTTATCGGAAACTATGCTATGGAATGGATTGAACATGGCGAATTCACAAAACTTTCGCAAATTTTTAACTGATCAAAACCCAGCATGGCTGCTTCACCTGATTAAAATAGGCTCCTCTGCGTCTTGTTCTTCTCTGTAATGCAACCTGAAATACATCATGCAAAAATAATGCTTCGTAAAAGTGAAACCTTTAAACCACTGAGATGGACATCTGCGCCTAAATACGTAATGGAAACATTGGAAATGTTACACAGAAGCAAATCGGATTTTCTCTTCACAGTTTAGCTTGTCGTAAATGTTTTACTGCAGTTTTTTTTTTTTTTTTTTTCAGAATTTTGTGTGTGCCGACGAGCTCAAAACTTGTTTCTCTTGTATCTCATCTTATCAGTATAAGAAATAATCGAAACTACAACATTAACCCATCTACTTGTGCATGTTTTTGCTTTTTCCTCAAGATCGATCAGTGGAAAAGAAAAATAGGTCATTCTGTACCAATCTCACCAACAAAATCTCCGTAATTCGGCATGTGACATTTTCAAACGAACCGTCATTATTTACTGTTGAAAATATCCGTTGTTATTCCATTATGTTAGAGATTGACTCCAACATTTCAAGAAACCAGCAGACACAGTTTCTTGCAGTTATCGACAGAAAACATTTATTCAGTAAGGAATAAGTTATGAACTTTCATACCGTCGCTTTTTCTATCAAGTTTGGACGAAATATCATTCTACGAATTGAAATCAAATTTCTGCACTTTAAAAAAAATTAAAATTCTTACAAATCTTTTAGCAAGTGATCTACTGTGCATTTTTCTGAAAGATTACATGAGAACATGTTCTGCTCATGATATCCTAAAATTGGAAAGTGAGTTTTACCGAATATTATTCTACTCGGAAAGGTTCATTATACTGACTGTTAGCAATAGCAGTTGTTTGAAACTTTCGGGAATTTGAAGCTTCTGCTCATAACTGATACTAGGGAAGGTGAATTTCAGTGCATATCACTTAGCATTTTAATGAAATTATATGATTTTATCTAATCTGCTACATTAAAAGTTAATATTCGTCCAAAATTATTATACTAATCAAATTGTCAGCTATTAGGTAGAAAAAAGAAGGAAGAAATTATACAATGGAGAAGATGAATAACGAGAAGTTGCAATTGTAACTTGATTTATAAAAAATATGTTACACTAAAAAAATTCTCATAATCGAAATCGATTTTTCCATTCAAATGATCTGAATATAATGCAATATTCAAACAAGAAACGCTACTAACTCCCTTTTATCATTCCTCATTTTGCGAATATTTCTATTATCATAATTCTTGTGATGAAAACTTGGGAGGAGCTGAAACAGCAGAATTTAGAAAGTAAATAGTGGTAAGTATCCGTTTCATATCGAAGCTCACACGTGAGCCAAGGACCGCTCTGTGCAATCTAAAGAGGGTGGGGTTACGTTAAAGATTTAAACTATGTTTTGTGGAAGGCAAACCACTGATTTGGGAAACAGAGTGATATCTTCACCTTGCCTCGTGTTGGATTCATAATTTATAATTGTGCCTTAAACTGTTTATAAGAACTTCAAGATATTCGTGATCACGTGATTGATAATTTAGTTATTTATATTTCATTATTTGGAAGAGAATGATGGTTGGCGAGGATCTTATGGATATTAATAAGTTGCCTTCAACATTCGCTAATAAAGTAGCATCCAGCAGTTCAGATGGCAAGTTTCATTCATCATTCCAGATTTTAATGTTCGTCTTACAGGATTTTAATCAGGGAATATGCTGCTTCATTTTATTTGCAGCAGAAAACAAATTCCGTATCCTTAATGTGATTTTGAGGATTTTTACAGATGAATCAGTTGATATGGAAAGATGGGCTCCAGCTGGTGAGTCTTCGGACGAGCTACAAGCTGTGCACTTGTTAGTTTTCGCATTTCGACTATTATTTTAAAATTATTTTGATCTGTTCTTGGTAAATGAAGTGATTTAACGGTCATTTTCATGCGATACTTTATCTTTTGATTTTTTTAGGAACATTTAAAGCTCTTTCAGTCTTTCCAAATCTTTGTTTCATAGTAGAGCAGGAAATTCTTTCGTGTTTCATAATTTTTGAGACTGTCATTGAAAATTAATTGATTTATCTCCTTTGATCGACCATTTCAGAGATGAACAAATTCGTTTTCGGGAACTTGAAGAGGAGCAGGAACGTCTTAATAGTTCACTGCTGTCTTTATCAACACATTTTGCACAAGTGCAGTTTCGTTTAAAGCAGATCAGCAAGGCAGATCCATCGGAAAGAGATGTAATTCAATTCTTGAATTCCAAGGCTCTTTTTTTCTCTAAATTTCTTTTGCTCGAAAAAATTTTAAAAAAATGGGATTTCACTTTTTTTTTGATCCCATAGTTTCGACATCAGCTTTTATTATACCTGCAAAAGAAAGTGTCTGTAAGTTTTTATCGCCTGGTATTACGTATTTCACGAACAGTAACTTATAGCGATTACTGAAAGAACTGGAAGATTTTGCATTCCGTGGTTGTACCGATCTGAAATTAGAGAAGCAGAAGTGCTCACTAACGATTGATAACGAAAGAAGTAGTATGAATCAGCAAAAGGAACGGCAAAAGATACTTATCGCTCATTTGAAACAACAACTGGAAGATTTGGAGAAATATGCTTATGAAAGCGGTGAGGGTGACCTTCCAAGCGCTGAAGTCATGGCCAGACAAGTATGTTTTGCTAGTTTTGTCAACCCATACTCGATAAATTTATTGAGTAGGACATATATATATATATTTCTTGTTGACTGGATTTTTAGACTTCATTTTCTTCCATTCTTGTGACACAGGATTTTTTTAATTGTTGTAGTGTTAGTGAGACAACTGGAGTTATTTTGTTGTGAACTGAGAATTGTTCTATTTTAGAAAGCAGTTATTGACAAACTTCACGAAAAAGTTCAGTTAGATCTGGAACTGGACAGAATGTCCCAATGCGATTTACAAAAGAAGGTTGACGAAGCATTGAAGAAGGTACTTTATTCAAGTAATGCGAAGATTGGTGTTCATGGATTCGAGAATTTAGGTCTGACTGAAAAAAGTGTTGGAGTTATCCTGTATGTTTTAATTAAATTTTTATCTGCAGCACATTGCATCGATATGGTTTTAGCTTGTGAACCCCATTAAAGCGAAAGAGCAGTTAGTGGAGCAGTTGCAAGCACAAATTGTCGATCTTGAACGATTTATTGGTTTTCTGCAGACGGAAGTCAACGATCGTCTATCTAATTCAGTTGTCTCGCTACCTATTGTACCGGCAAAGAAGGGTTCATTCATGAATTTAATCAAGTTTAACCAGAAATTCGAGCGTAATCAGCTGAAGCAAACACCACAAGGAAGCCATTATGGGCAGGTGTTTTCAAAGCTATATAGATTCTTAATGTTCTTTTTTCTATAAAGTAAAGTGATCAACTAATATGAAAATTTTAGTGATGAGCGAGCACGGATAGAGCTAGCAGTTGATGCAGCAACTGAAGTGATGGAAAAATATCTCCTGCTTTCGGTGGATATAGATATCTCTCATTCTGAATCGTTTAGTAGATCATATGATGAGGTTGTTTACTTGGTGTCACTTTTCTTTCTAAAAGCCATTCATGATTTTTTGAGAAAAGAGGAGCTTATGGCTTATAGTTCTTGGGAAGTTTTAGAATAACTGAGAGGCGGTAAACTACTGTTTGCTTTCCAATTTTTTTTTTTTTTTTTTTTTAAGGCTTGGTGAATTGGCAATGAAACTAACACCGTATTATCTTCCAAGTTAAGATAATCTCTGAACTGCTACTGTTGCCTACTTGTTATTTTGTCATTCTCAATATAATATTTCTAAGACTCCCTTTTGGATGTAGAGATATATGCTGATGTAATTTTTTAATTTGAGATTTTCAAACGCAGCGAAGAGGAGGTAGTTACTGTCATTAGAAAGCAACTGTGTCCTGCTATGCGTGATCTTTTGAAACATGGTATGAACAACGTTGTCAAACACTTTGTTAATTTCGCACCTTTGGGTTGCTATCCTGGAAGTTCGCGCTCTGCTAGAAGTACTAGTGGTAAGTTTTTACAATACTTGGTATTGCTTTTTAAGGCACATATTCTTTCTAATTAATTCACTGAATCATTTGAATTCGATTTACTTGGTAGGACACTTCGGTTAAGAAAATTTAGTGCGAAAGCTGGAACACGTTTGGGATGTTGTGATGTATTATTACGATTCGAAGTGCGGTCGTGAATATTGCGATGCACCTATTCGCCGTCTTTCACAGAGTTACCAGCTCGATATCATTGCAGGTCGGAGTGTCACATCAAAACAGGTTGGAATTCACATCCCTTGAACTCCAAAGTGGATGCTGTATTTCACTAAAACTAAAATCTGAGTGTAGTCTAGAATCAATGACTCATTTCTTCACTTATAGTTCTGGTCCCAGCTTAGATCGAACTTAATGTTTACTCGTTCTTTATAGCTTTTACTATCAACTATCGAAAATATTACGTCAACTCATACTCGACTGAAACGTTCCCCTGATTCGATGTGGAAGGCTCTGGTATCTGCAGCACTGAATGAAAAAAAATTGCCGTCATGGATACGAACCATTTTCTGCACAGAGCAGATTGTTGAGCAGTGTTTTGCATCGTGGTCTTATGTAGTCAGAACAGGTATATTTACTTGACCTTTTCAAAATTTTTGAAGTTCAGGAAGTCAACAGAAAACCAAATAGATTCTCACGAATTTCAAATGGACCTCACGTCTTCAAATTAAAGTAGTAGAACCTAGGTAGTATCGAAACACAGTAGCATGTATTTCCAGGAGTTTAAGGCTGCGACAACACTGCTTGATTAGGTAAAAATCGGTCAGAATAGTTGGTAATCCAGCAGATGAATAAGCGGAATAGATTGATGGCTGACAAGTGGATGTTGTTCTGAAAAGTGCTTGGAAGTCCAACTTGATGTGCTTTCTCGTTGATACCAAAAGAATGTTGCCGTAGATGCTCTGACGATTCTGATAATGCGCATGGGTTTGGATCTGAAAATCTCAAACTTTATATTATTTAAATGTCAATGAACTGAATAATTTACAGGCTGTGAGGATATTTACCAATTGTTGGAACGTCTTCATAAGTATAATTTTCATCTACCGGTGGATTTGGCTGTGCGCCCCTTTCATCAAATGAAGGATGCGTTTTGAAAAATTTTTTTAACTCATGCTGCTTTTTCTATATCTTTGAAAGATTATGCTTTAAAATACCAAATAGAGCGTATTATTTCCTGTCTTTATTTCTCAACTAACTTATACCAGATCTGGGTTTTATGATCATTCCATTTTAATGTTTCTAGTATTGTCTTTCTTCACTTAGCATTATATCCTCATTCATATGGGTTCTTTTTGCTTTATATTTTTGTTTCATTTGGGATTTTGAATTTCTTATTCTAGTTTTTCCAGTTTCATTTTTCGCCATTTTTCGTTTCATGTTGCAATATTTTTACCCTTTAGTATGGGTGAAGTAAGAAAAATTTTGCGATTTCCATAAATAGTGAACTTTGTAGATATTTTCAAGTGTGACTCAGTTAATAACATACAGTGGACTTGCACTCTGTTGTATGTGTATTATAAATTATGAACAGGTGTAACAAGGATCTGAAGTTAAGTTCTATTTTAAATGTGTTATTTGAAGACTTTTTATGCTAAATATTATATGCTTCAATGTTTCTCATGTTTCATTTCCAGTCTTGTTTTCTTTTAATTTGTTCTCTTTCCCTATGGTTGTGTGTTTTAAATAAAATTTTCTATATATAGTTATATACGAACTTCATACGACTCTTTCGTGGATGAGTATTTCGCATGGTTGCATATTGATCTTCATATCGAAGCTCATATTACATAATTTTCAGTAATTTCTTCATAGTTCCGATATGGTGGACGAGTATTATCGACTGACCGATGTTTTTGAAACATTTTCATTTCTTGCACCGAATGAACAGGTTTGCAGTTAAATGTCGAGATGCGTATCGTATACATGTAATATTACCACCATATTGTTTGTACTGATATTAGGTGACGTGTGTTGATGGAACATCAAGAACGCTATTTGTTGGTACTTCACAAGGGCGCATTTTGCTTGTGGATCTTCCTGCAAAGGATGTGCTTAATGCATTGCAACTTTCAGTGGTAATTTTCAAAAATTTCTGAGATCTTAAAAAGATGCGAGGATGTTTTCAAGAAGACTGAAGTTTTAAATGTTGGTTTTAGAATGCTCCCGTTGTACGAATAGTGGCTGCCACAGCGCTTGATTATCTTGTTGTTCTATCAGCGTCCACCATCTTTAATATAGAAATAAAGACATTAAAGGTAAATATTAAAGATAAGCCTACACTTTTTCCTTAACTGAAAGCTCTCGAAAAATTCTATTTTGAACGTAGGCTTTGGATTTTTGTTAATATAATTATTAATAAGCACCTAACGTGCTTTGCAGATTTCAAACAGGAATATTTTTTGGACTTTTCAATTAAGGTTGACTAAAACTGTTGTTAAGTTTCGTAGTTTAGACAGTTTTACTATATCTGTAAGACACTCGTTATTCTGCATACTTAGTAATTGGAAGATTTCGCTTTGTATCTGTCACAGAAGTATTGAACTGAATTCAATTTCATTCAGTTGAGTTGAATTTAATTATTTGATTTAATTGTTTTCAGCCAATTAGTTCAAGTGCGATGTCGAACATAGCTCATTTGGCGCTGAATAAAGATCCAGTAGTAGCAGATCCATTTGCTTTACAGTTTGCTTTAGTTACGAACAATCGCTACATTCTAATCTGTGAAATTAAAGCTGATAATTTGGTAATCCAGCAAGAGATACGAACTGATGACAATGTGGTTGCTTTATCGTACAATAAATATTGCATATGCTATGCTCTGCCTAATGCTTATTTTGTTCATAATATCTTGGAAAATAAAACTCTATCGTTATTCCCGTACGACTCACAAGCTATACGTCCTATAATTATAAACACAGATGCGGTTAGTTAATTTTTGTTTCAAGTCATCTTATAAAAGATAAAAGTTTCCTAAAGGGAATCAATGGTCATCTTTCAAATTATACAAAACGGTTTCAGGAAGAATTTCTGGTGAATAGTATGCAAGGTTTAGGCGTTTTTGCAACTTCAGAAGGTGTTTCATCGCGACCTCCGCTATTCTGGGGTCTGACTTCTATCGTGTCATTTACTTATCGTTCACCACATGTCTTTGTTCTAACAGCGTCATCTGTTACCGTTTACAGGTTTTTTTTTTTTGTGGATTCAGCTTGATGAAAGTTGATTTCTAATAGTTCATTTAACAGTTATTTAAATACTAAATTCTTGATAGGCTTGCAAATATTTTCAGTTCCGAACAATCAGTTGTACTCCAGAGGTGGCCCTTTACAACTGGGACCTTGTTAGAGTGTATTGATGGGCAAATGTATATTTGCAGTAGCAAGAATATCAGTTATTTAGAACAAATATCGTGGCTTGATAGGGTATGTAAATTGAGTTTGCTCAGAAATTGTTTTTGTTATTAAGCTGGGTTATTACTTGTTTTAGCTAAAGTTGTCGTGAGTTGAAATTCAAACAAAATGTTTAAAAAACGAAATTTACCAAGATATTTTATTGAGGCAAAGGCTCTTGCTGATAATGGAGAATTGGATGAAGCATTGCGATTTGCCGAAAATGCTGTTTCCAATGGTCAGTATGACGAAGACGAAATACTGGTAAAGCTGAAACGTTCAATGAATGATTTTCTCACCAGAGAAACTTCTTGTTACACTTTTTTGATGGAACAAGAAATATTGAACAATACTTCCAGAAATTCAATGAGTTAAAACAGAAAGTGGCCTTAGTGCTTTTCAAACGCGAAGAATTTGAAAAATTTTACGAAGTGGCCGTATCATCTGAATTAGATCCTCGTGCGGTAATGAGTTCCAGATTTTTATCCGAAATTTTTATTTCTCATAGTTTTTCTCTGATCCTGTTCTATGTATGACAGTTTCTAATTTTCAGGTCTTGATATCATTTGCATTTTTACTTCCGTTTCCATCAGGGTTTCAATCAGAGCTAAGCAAAGAGTCCACAGAAACATTAGAAAAAACCTTTGATGATTTCGTTGCAGAAGGATCCATTGAACTTATAAGTTTTTTGGAGCATTATTTGAGAAGAATAAGAAAACTTCATTGGACTGCTGGATTTCGTCGGGTACTCTCTTAATGAATTTTTCAGAGTAACGTCAGCACACTTCGTTTCATTTGAATTGCTATTTATGTCATTTAGGGTTAAAGTCGAGATTCCATTTCTTTGGGTAGTTACTAGTTCTTCTCTATGTGATATAGCGGAACTAAAATATTATTTAAAGAAACTTGACATCGTAAACTGGATATTAATTTTAAGCATAAAATTATGTAGTTACTGTTAGTTTCCTGTTAATTTAATGAAAGGTTGTATGCTTTGTATTTCACTATATTTGCTACATGAGCAAAACAGTTTTAAATATTTGATAGTTTTTTAAAATCCGAAAGGAACTACTTATTGAGTATTCTGATTTCACAGATCAACTCTAGTAAAAATAACGGTTTGTCCATTCAAAGATTTGGTTTCTAATAAAATGATGGTCAATGATAATAAACTTAAATCTTGGCGTAGTGACTTCAGATTTTCCTGTAACTATTACACTTTTTATTTAAAATTTGTGTGTAAGATTTTCAGGATATTGACACTGTATTATTAAGATTGATATCACTACGAAAGGATGAACTGGGTGCTGAGGACATGTTACTAAATTTTCATTGCACTTTTGATGACTGCAATGAATGGATGCGAAAACATAAACGTCGGAAATTCCTTATTACCATTGCATTTTGCCTCTCAAATTTCGATAAAGCACTTGCAATAAGTCGAGAATTATATGATGAGAATCTTTGGGATGATGGGATTGTCAGATTATGTCTACAGTTCTTCCCAAGGTAATTGATTAACCTAGTATGCAATTAGAATGAATCTGTAATGATGAGTGCATAACTTTAAAGCGAATCCCTCCATCAGTTCTGATGGTATCAGCCTCCATGAAAGGCTAAATATTTTTTTCGCTGATTCGAACATTCTTAAACATCTTAAAGTGAAAAAATTCCACTGGATTTGCAGGTTTTATTCAGAACAAACAATATTAGGTTGGGTTGAATTTCTGCTCAAAATTCACCAAGATGATGCAATCAGTGGTTTGAAAAGATGTTCGATCGAATTAGATCACTCGAAAATTGTACGAATCTTGCAACAGGATCGAAGTACACTGATCAAATACCTTGAAGGAATTAAACCTCTCCAAGTACTTACCTCCACCTTAAAAATAATTTTGCACAGTCCCTAACCTAATTGATCCTCCGCTAGCATTCTCGTAACTTCGAATATTTCACATCAGAATTCTACAAATTGATATGGATTACACTTGGTAACAGATAGTTCGAAATTTGGATACTGTACCAAGTTCACATTTTTGTGGTGTACGTTGTTTACAAAGTTTTAGATGATTGGACATTTTCTTTTGTACATATAGTATTAAACTTTTCCATCAATTAAAAAGAGACAGAAAGGTAAAGGGTTCGTGAAATTACTATGATGATGCACTGAAATCCTTCTTCAGATCGCCGAATTCCATTCAATGTTATTTTCAATGTACGCAGACGAAATCAACAACTTGTTAGGCGGAGATCGAAGAAGGGAAAAATTATACAGGAAAGACCTACGTACTTTCCTTCTTCAACCAAGCAAGCTAAATTTGTCAGACATGCGTGCAGTTCTCGAAATTTGGCCTCACTTTGCTGTCGAACTAACCTTGCTTGAGGGTGTCAAAGTAAACTTAATGACTTAAATTGCTTTGATCACTAGCAGTATTGATTTAAAAAAAAAAAATTAAGTGGTAAGCCTGTTTCTCGTGCGTATGCTCCAACGCATTGCTTTTTTTTTTTAATTAATGACCTATCCGGTAAGATTTTTCAAATTTTTGGTTGACTGTACATTTGTTTTGTCTGAGAAGTTTCAAATGGATGGAATGTCCTCAATTTCTTTGAAGAAAAACTGTCAGGAAAATGGCTCTGTTGCATGCCTCGAAAAATTACTCAATGATCACAGAGACTATGATGCAGCCGAATTATTCTGTATTTATACAGATACATCGGAACATGTTTTACAATTGACACTTCTGAAGTTCTATCTGCAAAATGTCACGTAAGCTTCAGTTCATAACTACATACTGTTGCAAAAATTTGTTCTTGCTTTATTCTTGAGCTCGTTTTCTTTTTCCTTTTCTTCTATAGGTCTCAACCGGAATTCGGACCACGTATAATTGGTTTACTTAACACATCCGGTTTAACCTCAAATAAAACTGAGATACTACAAGATATCCCGAAGGATTGGCCACTATCGTCGGTTCTTTATTTCGCAGAAGGCGCTATATTATCAGCGAAAGATCGATCTCATCGTCAGCAACTGAAAAAAAAGGTATTTATAAATAATTTGGTGCAGAGCAATATGCTTCCAAAGTTTAATTGACTGAATCCGAACGAAAATTTCAAATTTGTGAGCGGCATTTTTTCGGTTACGACACAAGCGCTAAAAGCACTCTCGAGAGAAGCGCTGAGAGCTGCTCACCTATACATTCAAATTGATGAAAAAACAACTTGTAACACATGTGGAGCACCAATCAGTAACGAAGACGCCGCATGCCAACCACATTCACGCCAAATATTTCATCGAAGATGTTTGAAGAGTTGAAGTGACCACACGTGAATAGTAAATTTGTGCTAAATGCGTGAAAAAAATGTATTCTTGTCTTTGAAATAAATCTCTTTCGGTTATCATAACTTACTGTTAGTTTTACACCTTGCCGTAGTCGACTGGGCGCCTATATTGACATGATGGTCAGAGGTCGATAAATACCACCAAAGATTTAAAATTCGAGTGTTTCGTAAATGCATATGCGAATCAGACAAAACCCGTTGAGTTTCTGTGGGTAATGATCTTTTAACCTGGAGACAGTGTACTGAACCCGCGATATTTCCAGTATTCATTCCTTAACAGCATTCACAAGGTAGGATTTCTTAATACGAAAATTTCCATGCGTTTTTCTTAGACAAAATAGTTACGAAATAAGTTCTATTATGATCAGATCACTGCACAAGACTTTTCACATTATACGAATGAATGGGCTACAATAAGATACACTGAAATAAATAAAACAGTATCACGGAGTATGGAACTCGTAATTACATAAGGTTTACTAACAGTCTTTCTTCAGAAAGAATGCATTAAATTAAAATAGTTAAGATATTTTCGCTTTATCTTCCGGTGTTGATTGGTCATGCAGGAGCACTTCACACCCTGTAGAAGACCCTAAAAATTAAAACATTTAAAGTGAAAACAATTAAGACTCAATAGTGTAAACTGGAGAGAATTCATCAGAACGTAAATAGTGGGAATTGGTACGTCTAAGCTTATAATGGTGACAGTAACGACATACCACTTGCAATCGTTACAGTAGAAGCGACAGCAGTTTCTTTTTTGCCTTCTTGAGCTTTTAACCATTCCGCCATTTCGGCTGCTTCCTCATCGCTAACTGGGGCATTCCTGTTTTTTATCGCTCCCGACTGACTGATACTAGTTTGTTCTAGTACACCGGAAGTTTTCGTCCTTCAAAACATTTTCGTACGACTCCAGAACATAAATTTATATTTTCTTAAATTATTGTAAACTACATCATGGTCAAACGAGAAGTTATTTTGTGCAACAAAGCCAATGACTTAAAGTTACTAGTTTATGTTAACGAAGTCGTCGGAATAATTATGTTAAGCGTATCCCGAGGTGAAACAATAGCTGCTCAGAATCCAGCATACCCTTTGAAAATATGTTTAAACGTACAAGGTATGACCAAGATTCAAATACATCTAAACTACCAAGAAGCACGATTCTACACAGAGCTCTGGGCATACATCGTATAGTAGTCCAATGTTTAGTCATCCCACTTGTAACAATCATAAATATTTTCATCGAATTCCGAGAAAAGTAATGAAGAGACAGAAATTTACTTAGTCTCTAATCTAAAAAAAAAAGCACTACGAAGCAAAATTAGAAGCATCAGAAGTTTTCAGTGCAGCAAACTGTTGATTCAGTGTCTGATCATCAAATTCAATCAAGTTGCTCTCCGAATCCGTATTTTCTTTCGTGTCATATGCACGACTAATCATGTAACGATTATATTTTTCAAAAAGATTGTTGCAATCATCGTTTACCATTAGCAAATCGTCTAAAATTTTTATTTAGAAATTACCCATACACAAATCCATCTTATTATCAACACCTACCTCAACCTACTCTTAATCCCACTGAGTTTTTGCCTCATCATAATACAAAGCATAACTATAATAAATATACCTATTGCTCAATTAAAACATTTTAAAACTTCCACACAGTAGCCAAAATAGAATCACCTAAAATGGAGAGTATATCAATTTACCTAAGCTTTAAATATGTAAGTTAGCCTTTTCTTTACAGCTATACACAAACCTGCTATCCGCAAACAACGCGAGAAAGATTTGTAGAACTTACTTTTTATGTCTCGATACTTCGTAACCGAACGATTATAGCTCCCTAGATTTGTGCTCGTTTGAAAAAGATTTGTATTCATTTGAAGAGGAACTTACAGATGACTTCATCATTCTGAACGGAACGAATAAGGTCTTGAATTCTCACATGCATCTGCTTTACAATAACATACAGTTCTTCCAATAACTGCACGTCGTCCGAAGTCTCTTTTCCCGAAACCATTTCAAATAACATTTCTCGCATAACCTTAAATAAAATAAAAACTTAGCACTAAAATTCTCACCAAAGCTGGTAAGAAATATAAGCATTCAAAATGCATCCCATTCTGATTCCAGAGAAGGTATACATTAAAAAAGCATCCCAATCCTACAAAGAAATGACAGCTTCGAGTTTACCTGAATTTCATAAAGTTTTGGGAATTCCATTTCTCAATTTTCATGAATTTCGAATTTCTCAAACCTTAATATACGTGAACTCTCAATATACAGTACCTTCAAATTGCCGTTAACTACATCAAGTTCCTTGCGTAATTTCTCCTGCTGCTCTGGTGTGGGCTGCATAAACTGCGACAGTCCAGCGTAATTATGTGACTCGGAAGTCTGTAAGATAAATTATCGATGAAATTAAAAGGATTATGGAAATGCAGCTGCAAAAAGTTCTTTACTTTTAATAATTTTAAAAAACTAGTTGAGATAAATTTCCGTAATTCAAAGAACAATGTACATAAAGCCTATCCATAATGTTTTGTCTACTGTGTCAGCACAGAAAAAATGTATTAAAGTGAGACGATTACAAAATCGACAGAAGTTTCTTGCATTTCATGTCAACGAGACTTCAGCAGAAGTCTAGTTGCTTTATATCAACTTTAGCTGGAGAGAACAAAGAAATAATTAACCAATTAACCAGACCCATAAAAAGTGATTTATAAAATCTACCCAGACAAATTTATTCATACTTCCTTAATCATAACTTGAAAGAGAGAATGAAAATCCACTCGAAATGCTGTTTAAAAAAGTAAGTTGACATAAATCAATAGCTGATTATTCATTTACGTACTGGTAATTATAGACACATCCACTACAAAAATGCTTATGAAGTAAACAACATTTTATAAATGTAAGCAGAATCGTAATAACAGGGATGTGTGGCTAATGCAAATGAAAGATTAGAAGCTAAGTATGTGTCAATCTCAAACATCAATGAAAACTTCAAAGCATTAAACCTTCAAACCTTTTCTTTTTCCTGAAAAGGACGGCAAAATTCATCCAGCCCCCGTCCTGAGCACGATAATCATCAAAAACATCATTGAAGAAAGTTGAAAAACAAACGACAATGCTAAGTATCTTTTTTAGCAATGCAGTATAACATAACAGAATATGAATACTTCACAAACAACTATTGCTTTCCTCACTGAGAAACGGTGAGTCTTGTGTATGTTTTAATAATGCTACGGTTTATTTAAACAATGGACTTTGTATATACTTCGTAATAAACGACTAGCCGAAAATAGCCGAATTTTTGAATGAATAGAAAATGAGGAGAGTAGAAATTATACAAAATTGAGAACTTCTGTCTTTTGCTATCGTGCTATCGTCAGATTGTACCTAATCCCTCTAAAAATTGAAACAATCATGTGATTGGGTGATCATGCATATCGCAGCATTAACATTAAAAATCAAGTTAAGGAAGAAGTACTTCAACATACCAACATCTCCTGTCCGATAGTATCTTCCTGAACACTAGTAGTTGCAGGAATTCTTCTGATCGGAAACACAGTCTAAAATGAACACTGAGTCAACAAATTTCATATTTAACTATTCAAAATTAATTAAAACAATTTGTGTCCACCCGACTGATTTTTAGAGTGCATATGCAATAATTATAGATAAACACACATTGGATAGAAAAGCATAAACATGCATGATATTATTTAATGATAAAAAGTTGTATTCTTCCAAAAGAATATCTTCAGCGCAACTATGATAAACCTACTCTTTCGGGGGTCAATATTGGTGCCATCGAACCAGGATCTACAACAGGAAACTGAACATCTTTCGCTTTCAGCTCATTGTAAATTTGACAAACACCTTGCAAACGTGGATCATTTTTAAATACATCATTCCATGACTAGAATTTTTTTCCGTAATTTCTGATCGGTGTTTTCAACAGTATGAATCAAAACCTTCTCTCGTTAATATTTATTACCATAAGATGAATAAAAAAGTGACGGATGTTGTATTTACATTTACTTCTGCTTGAATTGATGAAAAATGATTTCTCTTAAAACTTTCCCTACAAAACAAGTAAAAACAGTAAGCAATCAAACATCAGCCATAATCGAAAAATGAACGTCATATAAATCAAGCATTGAATGCAAAAAATCTTGTCGAATAACTAACCTGAATTAAGCCGAGAACATGTTCTTGTATTACTTGGGGTGCATCGAATTTGGGACCGAGAAGTTTTACAAGTTCGTTTATAAAATCTTTTTGACAAACTAGTTCATGAAATCGAGTATCACAATTTTTTACACATGTTTCCAACACTGTTAGTGTATAATTAACAACTGCATTATTTTTCGACATTTGTGAGTGTAGTCGTTTACGAATTGCGCGCATCGCATCACGTCCGCTGTAACAATCGGTTGCATGGTCTAATGAATTTTTAATCTCGCAGAAATTAGAAAAGCCAATCTTCTATCTCTACTGACCATCAAATTTTAGGAGAAAAGGAAGAAGAAAGAGTACACAAACCCTTCTGCCGTGTTGTTAATGAAATCACAAATTTCCATATTTAATCCCCAATTTTCAGTTGCCAAAACAGTTGCATCGGTCGCCATTTCTACAACAAATGTTTCTCAAAATAGAAACTGCAGGAGGAAATAATAAAAGAATATAGTAGGAATTAACATCAACATTTCACAGCAAATAACGAAAGAGACACAAAAATAAATGCGAAGAAATTCGTCTGCCGAACTAATTATCTTGCTCTTCCATCTTATCTACAATTCTTTGGACAACATTGTATTACGTCACCCAATCCCATGTGTAATATACAAAGCTGCAAATATCACGATAACGTCACCTATTTTGCGTCCAACTGGCGTAGCAAACGGATTGCCCTGAAAGAAGTCACTAACACGTTCAGTGACTGATGCTGCCGCTTCCTTAGCACTTTCCATTGCATTATTAACCTGCTCTTGCATTTCAGTTGACGCTGAAAGACGACCAGCCATTTCAGAAACCTCAGTGAAGCTTAAATTTTCAACACAACAAAAGCGACAAAATATTCAGGCCACTATTGGTCTTATCTTAATATGGCCCATGTGATGAAAACAACCGAAATCAATAGAAAATTGTTAAACTATGTGCTCAAATAGGACAGGACAAGTTCAGTCTCATGCACTATCGTTTGTGTCCAGGTAGGATCTCTAAATAGATCTCCATTGAAAAATTACGAATATTTCTAC